AAAAGATACAAGTCCAAGGGAGAGTGAAACACTTCTGTTAAAGCATGACAGACAACTAATAGTTTTTGACCTCCTTGCTAAAACCAGTGTCAGTGTAAGCCATTCTGATGGAATTATTTAAAAGGTAGGAAATTATGAGTTTAACTTATTCACTTTGTTTTTTGACATTAAGTCAAACACTGCTCCAGGCAGATTTCCCTTTTATGAATTTAAATATTTCAATATACTGTTGACTTTTTCAATACTATATCAAAGTTGCCTCTTTCATAATTGGAATAACGATTGAATAGCTTAGTGCAAAAAACTGATGTTTCAAGTCGTTTTTATCTCGGCCTTCACATCTGATTATGTAAATAGGGTGAGATAACTCTACTCGTTCCCAGTGCAGATTCCTTTAATGTTTCAGGCAATTATCTTAAAGCAAGACTATTTAAAAGCCATACTGCATTACCATCAACTTATTCAAACTTGATTTGAATTAAAAAAGGATATTTGCCAGGAAACAAGTGCAGAAATCTAACCCTTAGGTCAAACGTGGACCCTTTTTTATCAATTGATGTATTAAATTGAAGATGTGTTTTAAAATAAGGCCAGTGTGTAGCTCATACTTTTCACCTGAAAGGATCTGCTTAGCTTGTTTTATGACAACTTCTTAAAATACCTGCTAACTTTTTTGTTTCCAATTAGAACAATAACTGGAAAATATTTAAATGGTTTGAAATGTTAAGATGGAGGTACATGCTGTCTCCCAAATGCACTTGTTTAAAGTATTTATTCACCACACCCATTTTTTTTTAGTCACAAGTAAAGGGACCACAATACTTGGCCTTGATGGCTGTTGCAATAATTTGGTGAGGAAGGACAATTATTTCCCCCAAATGCAATACTGACATTGTTAACCCGCGACAAAGTCTAGTTTAAAGTATTCTAACCCACTGTAGAGAAGAGTCATGACATGTTCTTCCTTCTTTTAACTACTGATGTATTTATTTTAAGCCACCTTTCTCTGTTCTGTGCTTTCTTCTGCTCAGCTTGAAGCATAAGGTCTTTCTTCTCAAAAATGTGTTTCTCAATCCAAGCAGCTGGGAAAGCTTGTGAGCTGTAACGTTTTGTCTCCAGCAGTTCAAATGACAAAAGACTGAGAGCTGTTAAATGTTTTAAATGCAGTTCAAATGGGAAAAATCTGTTTTGGCAGGAGGAGATATCAATGTTTGAAGTCAACTAAACTATATTTGTTTCTCTCGAGTTTGACAGCGAATTGAACAGTATAGCTGTGGGTGATTTCCTCATATTGACCCAGGGACAAATACATTGAACATACATTTGATATGGGAAAACACTAACAACATAAACCTTTCAGAAGGACTCATTACCAGCATATTTGAAAATGCTGAGCTGGGAATCATAGAAACGCTCACGAGAAAGCTGCCTGAATTGATAACGTTGAAGGGCACAGTGAAGGATTTCCAAGTCCCTAGATATTTGGTATTTAAGGAAATACTGAGCCATATTGGTTAAAAGAAGAAAAGTGTATATTTGCTACACAATAACCTGTTAAGGTACTATTTTAAACAACTGAAGGGGCTTTTTAATCTTTTGAATTCCCCTTAATAATCAGTGTCAAAAAAGGGGGCAGAGGGCTTGTTACATTTCCATTTGAATTGTAATTTTTTTTGTGGTTACAGCTTTTTACTGAAAGTTATCACTGAGTCAATGACGTAGAAGCCTTAAAATGACACTTTTATCAACAAACTGCCAATATCAACAAGGATTCATCACGTGCACACACACCTGTTTTTCTGCCTTATATTCCTCTGAGCTGTTACATTTAAACCTGTCTTTCACTGTTCAAATGAAAGTGTCTTTCCCACACTTTTGAATCTTACTTTCTGGAGGAAATCTTTGATTATGTAATTTCAGAATTACTATGATGGCATAGCGTTCTCATCAGTTGCATTTTTTTTTCTTTCTTTAAGGTACGCTGTTTTTCATAATCAGATATGTTGGTCAGGTATTTATCATTAGGGATTCCACTTTGGTTTTTACACTCTTTCACTTTGATATTATCATCTCTTCTTAGCACATGGAGCCATTTGGTTTGAAGACTGTCAACCGAGATTTCAGATCAAAAGAAATCCATTGTAAAAATAACAGTGATCATCAATTCCAGGTAATGGGTGGTAATTATAAGAAGGTTACAGGGGGTGCAAAGTATAATTGTGGTGAGGGGTTGATTTAAAGACCATGATTATCTGTGGGATATTGAATATAGACCATAATTATCAGTGGGTGATGGAAAAAAATCACTAGTCGTAAAAAAACTGAACCATTCTTCCAAAATCACAGATGGATTTTATTTATCTGATGAAGTCTTAATCACAAGCTACAAAAAAAGTTCAGACGGTGTTTTCTTTTATGTGTTTATTGCGTACTGCAGGTATTTTGACTGTGTACATGCTGCATTCCTGCTGAAGGGAAAGCCTCATCTTATTCAGAGAAAAGTATGCATTATGAACTGCATTTTACAAATGTACACTTTCTATTTTTCTGTTGTGCAATGTTCAAAAGAATAAAAACATCAAAGATATGTCCTTGTTTCATGAGCCTTGCTCTTTGAATTTCCAATGCAGGTAGTCTGCATCATTCATTGATCATCATTATTGATGTTGTCTTGACACAACATTGTTTTACTGTGCAGTCGTCTGAGTATACGATGTCTGCATTAAATGGTTTATTGGTTAAGTTTGTCTAACAAAAATAATCAAACTAATCTGTATACAGAATTAAAATGCAACATACTTTAGAAAGGGAGTATTTGTGCCTTATGAGAGGTTCAAGTTTTTTTTAGTTTGTTTTTGTCATACGGACACAGTGTAGTTATGGCGATGACAATCTTAGGTCACAGGCTCCTCCAGGGCCTATACTACGAAGCTGGTTCAACCTAACCTGGATATGTTTGAGTTAGCCGGTTGGCCTAATCCAAAACATACGCGCTCTCGCTAAACTGTACTACGACGCGGGTTATCAAGTGGATCGCTCAAGCCAGCCGTGTCCTATCTAGTTAGGTGCGCGTTCACATGAAAGGGATGGTATCTGGAGCATTCGACCAATCACAAACATGGAGAAGCGTACTGACAGCGCAGCGTCATACTTCCTGAATGAAAAGTGAACTTTAATACTAGTCAAAAATGAAGAAGTTAAACTTTAAACATCCATGACTTAAACACTTTATCCAGGATAAAAGCCACATAGTCTGCACCTGCAAGGTGAATACAGCTGGCAAAAGAAAAAGTGTTTGAATGCGTACATTAACAGGTTTATGATATCACTGCCCCGTCTAAAACACGATTTGACTTTAATTACATTTATCTCGAGTGTTTCGTCAACTTAATGTGTTGCTTAAAATAATACTTCTGCATACAGTATGTGACACTGTGAGTGTTGCACGGCCAGATAGGGCTCAGCTGACTCAGATAAGAAAATATGATACATTATGAAGTGATATGCCGCGGACTGTACTTAATGTTACTCTGATCCGGTTACTTAGGCCTATGTTGTGGCAGATATTTAAGTAAGCTTTCTTAACGCTAATGTTATAATAGTCAGATTGCTCTGAAGATGGGAGGTGATATTCTATTAATGTTCACGTTCACACAGTCGGTGATTTTTGCCAGCCGTCTTTCCTGCGACGGCAGCTTTTCTGTATTTCCTTTCTCCTGTAATATGACTTGATCGCTTTAAACTCCACACACTGCTCTCTGATTGGTCAGCAGGCAGTGCTTTCACTGAGTTGAGCTCTTAGCCTGCAACCTAACCTGCTCCCGACCAGGTTAGCCGCTTAGCATAAGTTACCATGGAGATCTAGCCTGCTAAAAAGAGAACCAGCTTCGTAGGACCGGAAAGCCGGAGTTTTCCCTGAATTTAGCCGGCTAAGCGAAAATCCTGCTTCGTAGTATACCCCCCAACAGTGCAACACAATAAAACAGATAAACAGAAATATAGTGCAAGTAAATAGTAAATAGAAAAATAGTTTAAAAAGGTGAAATAGTGCAATAAGAGTCTATATGCAGAGTGGTACGGTACCTACCCAAAATACCCTCTCCTTTGCTGTTTGACAGATACTGTTATTCACTAAATAGCCTACTAATGAGCTTATGAGTTTTCAGTGTTTTTCAATGAAACCACTGTGAATTTGAGTTTATTAACATTTACCCTTGTGGTCAACATCTGAACATAACCATTTACATACAAAACCTTATAAATATATCAATATATTTTCTTCCTATAGATTTAAGATTCAAAAGTTATATTGTCATAAGCACAGAAGCTATGGAAATCTTAAGTCCCAGTCTCCATTTACAATGCAACATAAATAAATATAAAACAATAAAAATAGTCTAAAAAGAAACAGGATAGAAATAAAAAAATGTTTTATAAAAAAGCCATCTGGTTATTTAAAGATCTATTTGATTTTTTGAGTTTGTGTTTGCAGGGACGAGGTAATAACAAAACACCAGATTATTCAATTCCTCCATATTGATTGAATTTGAAGGGATGTAAGAGGAGAAAATAAAGCTTTAAATTGTGTGTGTGTCTATTGATTTTGAAAGACGATCCCTAAGCAGCTGCTGTTTGACAGATATCGGAAGCCAATTTATCCGTGACGGCATCCTAACCGTAACAAATAAGACTATTATCTGAAACAATTAACACTGGGCCACCATAAATATGTTATGGCACTGATTTTCAAGTAGGCTACCGGTAACCTTACTGTAGAAGGATTTGAAGACATGGCAACAGTTGTCATGACGACCGTGATACACTCCACGGCTTCTGGTGTGACAAATGAAGGTAAAACCGCAGGCTTAGCAGCATGAGACATGAAATGACATTTTGAGTTATATATATTTGTATTTGATAGTTTAACTCACGGCTGAGCTAAGCAACGAGCTACTTTGTGTGTGTTGTGGTTATAGTTGTATAGCATTAGCTCTACCTTTTGTGAACGTGTTGTTGTTGTAGTTTGGCTAACAAGCTAACATGCCTGCTTCTTAACTAGGCCCAAACAGTCCAGGAAACGTTTTTGTATTGTAATGCAAAGTATACGCCTCTTCTTGTTAACTTGTTTTAGGCCTATTTTTACCAGAGTTGGAACGTTTTTGAGAGACTTGTAACCAGTGGTGTAAAGTAACTGAGTACATTTACTCAAATTTTGAGGTACTTACTTTATTTAGTAGGTACTGGGCCCACGCAGAGGGAGAAGGACAAAACCCCTATTTCAGTTGCACCATTTTTTTGTGCAAATGCTGCATCTTCTATTCTTTCTTAAAGTACACCACTTCCTTTAATTATGTTTAATGGTAATACTTTTGTACTTTAACAATATTTGAATACTTGTCTTTCACTTGTAACTGAGAATTTCAACTCTGTATTAAACCTGATTAAAAGTAAAAATTCCGAGTACTTTTTCCACCACTGATATTACAATGGTTGTAACAAAGCACATTTAGTCAAGTACTTTTTATACAGTTATATACAGTTTTGATGTACTTTACGGGTTTCTATTTGTTTACTCCTCATTGTAATGTAACTTGAAGTTTACAAACAATAAAATGTTGATTCTAACATTAACATTTTCTGATCATAGGATGTCCACGTATTCCAGGAAAAGCACCGTTGACTCAAACATGACAGCAGCTTGCAGCACAGAAACATCCATGAAGAAAACACCTACGTTGGAAATGTCCCATGCAACAGAGGTATAGATTGGGGGGTTTAAATGTATTGGATTATTATTGGGAAATTATTCTTGTCACATAATTGACAAACCATCTGCACAACTCTTTCTAAACTCTGTGTTATTTTGACCATTATTCCAATGACAATGCGTCCAAAGAGCTCTACAGGCACATTAAGACCTTTCATTGTATTCTAATAACGACTCATGTGCTTAAGAGGATGTGATAAGGTCTTCTTCATTTTCACCTATTTCTCTGATCACTGTCTTTCACTTCCTATATAGAACATTTATTTATTGAAACATGTAAAGCATTTTATTCTTCCTCGTATATGTCTGTTCTATCATAATTGTCTTTATCCTTTTCCTTGCTTTATCCCGCCTCCTTGGTTAGCTCAGAGTGGTGCCGTTATGTTCACACTTTTAGCACACTACCTGTCCTTAAAACAGTGTCCGGCAGTGGCTCAGTCAGTAGGGGGCTTGGACTGTGAGCCGTAGGGTCGCCGGTTCAAGTCCCCGACCAGACCTATATATGGAGTGTGGACTGCTACATGAAGAGGTCCCAGTTCACCTCCTGGGCCCTGCCGTACAATAGCTGCCCACTGCTCCTAGTACTAGACTCCTGGTTAAATGCAGAGAACAAATGTCACTGTGTGCTGTGTGCTCTGCATGTGTGACCATTAAAGAGGGTTTTCATCCCTCCCAATTCTATTCTAAAATCTATTAAACAGACCGTAAAAAAATAGGTTATTGAATGAAAAGATCAGATCAGTGTTTTTCAAAGGAATTACCTTTTCTCTGTTGTGACTTGTCTGTCAGCTCCCAGAAAGCACCCTCTGTGTGGCGTGCTCTGCAGACGGCAGGCTCCTCGGCCTGGGTCACTCCCGGGGTTTCTCTGTGTGGTGTGCTTGTTCTCTGCTCTGTGCTGCAGAGTGGCTGCAGGACGGGCTGGAAATGACCTCTATTCAAATCACCAGAATGGCTGAGAAAGCCTATCTGCTTGCCACAGTTGACGATATGGGTCAGTATAGTGCCTCTCTCATCCTTCTTCTGCATAAAACATGAACAGATAGTCTGGGATTGACAGATTGACATTTATTTGTACACTGGAAATACTCTGCGTGATCCTGAAGTCATGAATTATTACTGAACTGCGCTGAGACAAAAACACATGGAATTAAAGAAAATAAAGGTTACAACAAGAAAGGCCAAAGAGATTTTCAGAAAGTGTTAAATATGTTTTGTCATTCTGGAATAAGTTCCTTTCATTTTTCACTGCAGGTGTTGCCAGAGTCTTTGCATATCACTGTGAGAGCATTCACCTCCTCAGCGTTATTAACACCATGGTACGTACAGATATATTTGTGACTGTCCTCCACCTTTTTTGGTTTGTATGTGTTGTTGATAGGGACACTTACATAATGTCAAACTGTTTCTGTTTTTGTGTGTTAGGGTTAGGAGTGTAACATTTTGTTTTCAATAATTCATTCCTTTCAATATCAGGAAAATATCAACAAAAGGAGCATTTGCTTGACATTTGAACTGTCTGAAGGGGGACATTATGGAGCGGCGTCAATCAGCTGTAAGTACGCCATTCCTGTAGAGCTCCTTTAATTAATTAATGATTTTAATTAAAAGCTTCTCTTTCAAGTATTTATTGCATGATTTTCTCTTCTCTATAAGGTAACAGTGATGTTTGGCTCGAGGTCTATCACTTCCCCTCAGACGCTTGGCTCAAAGAGTTGGAGATGGAACCATCTCAAAATCAGGTAATGTACTGAAATCTGAATGATAGGGTAGATATAACATGGTTGCGTATTAGGCATCATAGAGCCATTCGACATACAATGACATTTCATTGTCAACAACCAGTTGAATCTGACATAAGTTCGAATTTATTACGTTTTTTTTTTCAGTAAGTAGTTTTCAAATATACAGAAAGAAAACGGAGGGCAGCAGTTGTATCTTAAAAATGAGAAAATGGTAGAATATGTTCACAGATAAAGGCATATAATGGCATTAAGAACAGAAAAGTACTTGGACTCAATGCTTTCTAAAAACAGTGCTACCCTTGGAGCGTGTTGCACTCCAGAGTGGCTACCGACACAATAATACATAACAATACATGCTCCTGTGCTCTCTGTTATTAGCAATATGGCTGGGAAGGATGTTCCCACAGGGATTTCTAGTTTTAATAAGAATGTATGCCGGTTTATCTGGTGCCAGATACTCCTATATGCCATTGAGTTTCAAGTACAGAGGACATTTCAAGCAGTTTGAATGTTATTTGAATCCTCAGGACCCTGACTCATCTGCAGATGTGGAAGTGAAATGGTCTCCACTTGCAGCGGTGATTAAAATCCAGCCACCCAAGACTCCTGCAGGTATAATTGTAGAGCAACCATGTATTACAACTATAGTGTGGTGTGTGGAAGTGGAAGTCATGGTGTAGAATAGATGCATGGTGTTTTTCTTAGGACGTGTGATATTAAGTAGGCAAATTAACTCAAACACGTCATGTTACAATTCTTTTGCTGCTTGCTACAAAAGGAAAACTCCCGCAGCTCTCATGTCAGGGGTACTTGAGTGAGTGACATGCAGGCTCTGCATGCACAGCAAACCACCAATCACAATCAAATCTACAAAGCAAACGGACCAGAAACGGACCCGGTGATTAAAGGTGAAAACACTGAATAAAGTAGTTTCATGTGTTTCTCCAGGGCAGCTCGGCGCTGGTAAACGAGCTAGCTCAGCTTGTTGCTCTGATAACTTAAGATCCAGATGTCCGTGACTAAAATCCTTCATCCGGTTAAATATAGTTAGAAAAATACCAATTGTATAGCATTAAAGTTCAAGAAAGGATGGTTTGCGGACAAAAAAAACTGTCTTTTCTTCAATTCCTGTATTTCTTCGTATCGCAATATACATCGCAACGGGGGAAAATCGCAATGTCCGTTTTTTCCAATATCGTGCAGCCCTAGTATTTATATAACTTTCCGCCAGGTTTCCGAAGACGGATATGAGGAAGGGATGGTAACTGGTGCGGCGTTTGTCGACCTCTCAGCTGCCTATGACACAGTCAACCATAGACGTCTCCTCAGTAAGATCCTGGAGACCACAAGAGACACCTGCCTGACAGAGCTGATTGAAAGCATGCTTGAAAATAGGCACTTCTTCGTTGAGCTAGGAGGAAAGAAAAGCAGGTGGCGAAGACTCAGGAATGGCCTCCCACAGGGAAGTGTGCTTGCACCACTTCTCTTTAACATCTACACCAACGACCAACCAAAAAGTGTAGACACCCGCCGCTTCATCTATGCAGACGATCTTGGCATAGGTGCACAAGCCACTGATTTCAAAACTGGAAGACAGACTCTCTAACGCTCTGGCAGAGCTAACACCTTACTATGAAGAGAACCACCTACGTGCAAACCCATCTAAGACACAGGTGTGTGCCTTCCACCTGAGAAACCATGAAGCCAAGCGCCAACTGAAGGTCAGCTGGTCAGGAACCTCCCTTGAACACTGTGAGCACCCAGTCTACCTAGGGGTAACCCTGGACAGACTATGCCTCTCTTTTAAGACCCACGCTGAGAAGACTAAGTGCAAAGTGAGTGCGAGGAATAACATCATCCGCAAGCTCACCGGCACGACCTGGGGTGCAAACCCACAGACTCTGAAGTCAACCGCACTAGCCCTCTGCTACTCAGCTGCCCAGTATGGGAACGAGCTGCCCATGCCAAGAAGCTGGATCCCGCCCTCAATGCTAGCTGCCGCATTATCACAGGCTGCCTGAAATCAACACCTACAGACCGTCTGTACATCCTGGCAGGCATAGCCCCACCAGAGATACGACGAAATGCAGCAAGCAAGAAAGAGCGCCAACAACAGTCTACTGACCAAAGACATCCTCTCTTTGGCCATGTGCCAGCCAAAAGCCGCCTTAAATCCAGGAAAAGTTTCCTGAAGAGCGTCCCACCCCTCGGAACACCGAGCATAAGCGGTGAAAGAGTTACTCGGTGGGAAGAAAGACTTGACAACCTCCCGCGCCATGCTGAGAACTCTGTCACAGGAAAATAATTAGCAAAGTGGAGCTCTGCCCAAACACTAGGCTAAATCAGCAACAACAATGGAGCTAAAGGCGAGCGAGGCACTGCCCCCTGGAGCAGACACCAACTACGCAGTGTGGAAATGCCTAAACAGAATAAGATCTGGTGTTGGACGTGCAAAAGCCACTCTCGCCAAATGGGGATACCTAAATGACGGAGACGTTGTGTGTGACTGCGGCATTGAACCACAAACCATGCAACATCTCCTGATATGCCCCCTGCTGGAGCAACCCTGCACAACATCGGACTTGGCAGAGTTTAATGAGAAGGGACAGCAATGTGTTCAGCTGTGGCTGAACCACATCTAACCAAGCCCTGTACCTGACTGCCTTGTGGACACGATAAGAAAATATATAACTTTCTCTCTTTTTAAATGACTAAAGTGAAAGTTATTTGTTTTCTTTGCTGTTACAAGCATAGACTGTAGGTGACAAATTGCAGTTAAATAATAAGCACATACATTGAAGATAAGAATCAATATCCCGGCATGTTTCTGCTGTTTTGCAGGGACAGAACTGGATGGTCCACTCGAGGTGTTGCAGAAGAACGACTTTTTGACATACTGTCTGGCTCTGGACAAAGACATGGGCAGCAGTCAATGGGATGAACAGCCTTTTGATAAAGAAGCAGGAAAAATAAACGAAAGCCTAAGGTTCGATAAAGCTTACAGTTTCGACCAGCATGTAACCGCGAAGAAATATCATAGCTCTGTTTGAGATGTACTTGCATGTTCTTTGATTGAAGTCTTTGCATACATTATTCATGTCTCATACATGAAATCGTTTTTCAGACGTTGCACCCATCACTTTCTCCTGCCTTGTGGTCAGTTTCCTGGTGATAGTCATGCAAAGGATCAGCCAGGTTTGTAATGGACGTGGGAGCGTCCACTAAAAACACATTTGACAATTGCAGTTGCCAGCTAATTGATCCCTGTTGTTGATGTATCCCTCATTTTCATTCAATCAAGGCCTTATCATATCTACAGTGGCAGACTGTGCTTCTATTAACGTCGTCTTTAATCTCTGACCTTTTCTCCGCAGCATTGCCTGTTTCTGTCTGTGTGTGGTGGAGTGGCAGCCATAATCTTTTTCATTATTTGCTACGAAAGTCACCAAAGAACAAAACGGGTAGGATATGTATCTGCTGGGTGCTCACATTGTTAAAACATGTTGGGTGTTGTTACTAGGCATAGATTTCTGGTGTTGACCTTTCTGTTTTTGGGGCAGATGTGGAACCCATGCTAGATGTGTTGTGGCCAAACGCAAAGGAAATCCTCTGCTCTGCTGTTAGTCGATGCACACGTTTCATTGCTCTTGGGCTCGACGACGCTTTAGTGTGTGTGTGGGACAGGCAGTCTGGTGAGCAAACCTTATGGAGAAGTATTCCAAAAATATGATCCTATCCAAGCCATTCAATTTGAGCATTTGTGTTTATTTGGTTTCTCCTTAAAGGTAGGGTAGGTAATTCACTTCAGAAACACTTGTTGTTATATTCCATGGAATGCTCTTAACATCCCGATAGCAATGAATACATTAAATGCTTTGACAATAAATACATAACAAATTTCATCTCTGGAAGCCGTAGCGCTGTAAAAAGCACGACCAATCATTTTAGCCGGCCCGGCTAAAATAACTGGATGGCCTACCTGCCTGTCAGCCTTCCATCTGTGCACAAACTTATCTCGTGTCCTCATTGGTCATGTGCGCGTCCGTGTGTGTTGGAGGAGGGACTCTGTAAGGAAGTCTGAAGGAAGGGGCAGATTTTATTCGGCTGCGTACTTTCAAGTTCTAGCGCACTCGAGCTGGTTTCTCCATTCTTACCTACCCTACCTTTAATGAAAATGTCATGTAAAAAAAACATATTTGTTCCTATAGTATCCACATGTAGTTTTATTTTAATATGTCTACCTTAACATGAATCAGTGTATGCTATCCAGCTCCTCATATCAGTTATCTTAGTTATTTTAGGATTTCCCCAGAAGAAACATCACTGAAAAGCAATAATGAGTTTGTGGAATGATGCAGCAACAGACACGTAGACACTTTTGCCTCCTAGGTTTGCAATAAAGCTATGGCTTGTTTCATTCTCATTTTCTTCCCCCCCTCAGGGTCTCCTTTGTCTGTTGTCCCAGTGTCCGCAACAGACAGTGCTTTCTCCAGGATGCAGTTTGTGGATTTCCGGCCTGAGTCTGCTGATGATTCCCAAACTGCTGCAACAGTCTGTCTTTCAGTGTTGTGTAAAAGTGGAACGGTTCATGCAGTCACTTCAGGACGAGGGGCTCAATCCTGCACAGCGCAGCTCAATGAAAGGTATCCTATATGTTTGTTACACATTTCCATATCATGTATTTATTATCTCTGTCAGATCAAATGCAATCAAACAAAACATTACCTCACTCATAACGTCCTCTGTCGCGACAGGCCCAAAGACAGCGGAGACATCCCAACTGTCATTGCACCAGTGCCGTTCCTGCAGAGTATGGTAGAAACAATAAAGTTACTCATACAAAAGTTAAGCTCAAATGCAGAGGGAATTCCTATAGTACCAAAAGTATAACAATATTTGATTCTCTGGATTCTCCTGTCTTACTTTTTTGCCTCGACCAGATGCTTGTGGTGCAAAGAAATGGAAAAATGTTCCTCCAAGATGTCCTCAACAAAACCAAAGTGTGCTTCTTAAATCCTCCTAAGACTTTTCAGATTTCCACTCCCTGCAGTCCTGTTTATGCTCTGAACACTAAACAGCAGACTCTGGTCATACAAGGTAAACCAAGAGTCAAATGTTCTTTATTAATCCCCAGAGGAAAATACATGTTCATTGTTTTTGTTGTTATTTTACATTATTCACTAAGGAACAAAATACACACATGCACAAACGGGTTGAAGGGCCGCATGGTGAGGTCTGCTAAAAGTCAACAATCTGTACTTTGTTCAATTAGGACCAAGGAACCCTCCAATTCTTCCACAGACTGAGCTACTGTCCCAAATGAAATCTGAACTGCTGTCACTAAAGGCCTTCATGTCTTCCACAGGGGAGCAGGAGTCCAGCTGCAGCGCAGGGAGACAGAGCCAGCTGTTCAGCTTCACTTTTGGAGAGCATGGCATCATGGAGCAGTATATAATTTCACATCCAGACTCCCAGAGACAAAACACACTGGAGGAAGCCTGCAATATCTACCTCCGGCAAAGGTTGCTTTCTTTGTGTCTAGCAACCATAATCTATGTGGTGTCCAATAGTTTTTGGAAAATATATTCCCACAAATCCAAACAACAGGGCACAAACTATCCACTGTTAAAGTAGTGTCTTATCATGTGTCCCCTATGTTTTCATGTGAAGAGCGCTGTCTGTGGATGAAAGGAACAAAGCTATAGCCCACACATGGAAGCAGCTGCAGGACACAGCCGAGCTCGAGCAACAGAGACACAGCCAGCTGAGGGGCAGCAGCACATCTTGTTTTGCTCCGAGGTACTATTGTTTCTTTGTATTTCTGCATGTTCTTTGTATTCCATTGAAGAGCTCCTTCTGAATGCACCCTGCAAGAATGTTCATTAGAGACTGTTATCTCACAGGTCCAAATGATATTTCCAATATAACGTTATCTCCGGTTTTATGCAAGAACTACCAAACATATTTGAGGCAATGACCCTTAATCAGTTTAACTGTACAAAAAGGACATTGACATTGTTTTATTATGTTGAATTAGTTGTTAAATCTGTGGTGCTGGAAGGCCTTCTCTGATATTTTACGCAAAAGGATGAGTGTATTTGGAGTGATTATGTCCCCTTTGGGTCCTTGAATGTCTCATAAGTTTTATTTAATGACAGTACACAAAAAACAAAACAGGGTGCAAGAAATATTGAAGTGCATTTGGAATGTTATAGTCTGTCCCATAACAGTCACTGAAAATATGTTTGGGTTTAGGAAGCAAAAAACGAGCTAAATGTTGTCTATTTGTATTGAGTACCATAGAGTAACAGCTAATTGGATGAAAATATGTGAGAGGGACTCACAGTCAGAAGATCAAAACAAATCAGATAGGATATTGTTCTTCTGAAACCAATCAGCAATATGCAGCTGTTGAATTATTCATGATTTTCTCTCTTTATTAGTGCAGATTGGCGGCAGATCAATCATTTGAATCCTTGAGCTACAATGGAGAGGTGGTGTTCATTTGACAGAGAGATTCTTCGGATGACATCTCCCTTATCGTTTGCATACAAACACACTCTCCATTGTTGCATCGTTGGTACTGCATCTTCAGCGCATCAGATCGGACTCTGTGTGAAAAGGAACTGCTGCGGAAAACAGATTTGAATATGTGCTCAAAAGCCTCATTATACATTAAATAGAATAATGTACTGAGGGTGACGGCAAAGGGCCCAAATATCATTGATAGCGTAATAAAAGTGCAGGTGCTCTATTCAAGATATCCACATTTGTACCAGGGGAAAAACAATTAGACAGTATAACAATGCAGCAATAGCCTCTTAACGAAACAGAGACTTAACTGTCATTGCTGTCTTTTTGCTGTTGGTCTTGTGCTTTTAGTCATTTCCTTGTGATATTGATGCTTTATCAACATTTAATGTTATACAAAAAAATAAAAAACAAACCTGCTGTTGTCATTCCCAGCTCCCAATCCCCTCTGTTTTGCCTTCCCTAGAAACGTCCAATCAACTGCAGCGATGGCCTCTTTAGGCATTTGCTCTCATTAGTACAAAAGTAAAACAAAAGAGAATTGATAACAATAACAGAGAATCCCATATCAGAAAACGGTCTTCCTCTGAAGCTAAATGTCAAACTGTTGAACTTATTTTATTTCTTAAAGATTATTAAATGTTGAAACAATTAAATGAATTTGATAAAACCAGCTGTGTAGTTGCAATTACAATTTTTGATGTCTAAGGTCATGTTTTAAATATGGATTACTTTTCGGATCCTGGTGGCAAACAATTTGTATGTATGCATGAGCTCAATTTCACATTCAGGTAGAGTCAAATATGAAGTATATAGGCATCAATTTAAAGAATGCATGTTTTCTTATCACCATTTAAAATTCTAATTGCTTGCGGACATAGCAGAAGGTGACCTAGAAAATCTTCCACATAAAGCCTGGAAGGCTTAAATAAACCCTGTGCCCAGATTACAAACTGTTTATCATTAAATATTTCCTAAGACATGAAAGATGATGCAATTCCCAGTTATTCAGAGTTCACTTTTGAGTATTATATTTTCCTTCATAAATATTATTTTAAAGAAAATATTTTATTTAATATTTATTTATTTTTTGTACACTATCATGACATGATATATGCCGATCCGTCACTGTCTGCACCAGAACCTTCTTTCCCAACCATTCTTCGTTATTAACATAAAAAACTGTATGTTTGATTCCAAAGAGCATAGCGAGGAAGATATGAAATTATCTGTTAACTCTTCCAATGTCAATTTGTCACACTCAGAGGGTATAAATGGCCTTTTCATCTGGACGCTATGACTCAGCACTGATTAGCGGTAGCATCCCCTCAAGGCTCGTCGGCCTACACATCACTGCAGACATGAGGATGTGTCTGAATCTATGAAGCCTGATGTACTTATATGATTCTGTTTTCTTCAAGTTTGTATTTTGTTGGTCAAACGCACTTATTGTAAGTCGCTTTGGATAAAAGCGTCAGCTAAATGCAATGTAATGTAATGAATGGCATTGCCGTGCAACAGGGATTTGCGTGCTTATAATTTAAAATGAGATTTGTTTATCTCTCCCCACACAGCTTGTCTTCATTTACCCTCTGAAAAATGCTTTCAACAGCAACAGATTCAAACACTTCAAATCTTAGTGAATACATTTTATTAAAAAAATAACCACAAGTTAAAATGAACAGAGCAATAAACATTCTTTGTAACGAAGCTTGTGATGTCAGTCTGTTGTGATTGAAGCTTACCTTCTGCAAGAAAATCCAACTACTGTGCTTTCCGACCATTGCAGTTGTGAATTTTGTGATTTATACAGAAGTATTTGACGATTGGTAAAGTAAATCAAAATGTCACATCAAGAAATACAGGAACCCCACACATCAGACGGTCAAACACAAAATACATTTAAATAAATAGAAGTATTATGAAATTGTCAGAGAGCCTCATACGGTAAATTCCCCTCATTTGATGCTCTCGGGGCTGGACTGGTTTGGATCTCGCTCTGTGTCGTTGTCTGGGGTTAATAAGCTGATGGTTGTATCTGCTTTAGTTTGGTCGTCATCACACAGCATGAACCTCTCCTGGCTCACGGGGCTCCCGTCTCTCTTCAGCGGCAGAGAGTTGGCGGCGCAGGTGAAAGACAGGACTGTGGGGTTCTCCTGATTGGACGCTGCGCTGGCTTTGCAGTAAAACCTCCGCAGCCCCTTTCGGAAGTGAATGGTGAACAGGCCGTAGATGAGAGGATCCAGGCAGGCGTTGAAGAGCCCGAAGATGAACAGGATGTGGGTCAGGGAGTGGGAGACCTTCCCCTCCAGGTCGTTGGGGAAGAACCAGTACCACAGGCCCAGCAGGTAGTATGGAGTCCAGCAGATAATGAAAGATGAGACGATCACTATACTTAACTTTAGAGTCCTCATCCGCGCTCTGGGGATGTTATTCTTTGAACACCGCAAGCGCACTTCATTGGAGGGAACTGAGAGAAGAACAGGAAATACATTATTTCACATTAGTCACTCAGGAGCAAAGTGGTGAACCGAGGGACTGGCATTAAGAGCATGGAACATCCTTCTTGAATCCTAAAAATACACAATTTGTACTCATCTTGGTGAGAATTTCCTCAATAACTTTATTGAATGAAAGCTGGGACCAGTGCCACGTCCTTCGTGTGAAAGAGTTATCCTGATTAGACCGATGACTATTTGTCGATGGGTCTGTTTTTTTTGGTCTTCTTAAACTGGTTTTAGATTTATCTGTAACTCTCTTAAATCCAAAGTACCTGGACAATTGTCTATAAACCCCACACATATCATTATTTTCAAATACATGTGACTTGCTTTTTTTGAGTCATTAAGAAAGGCTGTCTATATGGAGAGGATTTTAGATGAGGACATGGAGGTTAATTAAACACGATCTGTAATAATCACAATTACAATTTCATAATAAAATTAACCTAAACAAAACAGAAGGGCATCAACTCAACTCAAATATTCAAACTGTTAAAAAGTATATTGGAGAACATGTTGTATTTATAGATAGATTTATATCTATATTTAGATAGATATTTATCATGTGTACACTAATATGTAATGATTACCTTCAGAACTCATAAGTAAGGTTTCATTTGTTAACAGGTTTAAGATTTTCCTTAACTCTTCCTTCATTTGGTCATCATTTCTAAATAAGAGCACACTGTTATCCAAGGTAACTTCATCAAGGATGCAACCAAGTGGTTGAGAGTAAACAGGATTAGCTGGTATCATCCTGTTAGCCTGGATAGTTAAGATACATTTCAAGAACAGGGCCCAGGACAGAGAAGAGATAATAACTAAATCACCCAACCAACCACCCAGCTTCTATCAATGCACTTTTACTAAAAGGGTCAAACAAACTGCAGCTACAGATGTTGTTATTAAAAAGCTAATCCCTGAAGTAAACAGATCCACAGAGCCTCTATTTGACCTCACCGTTGTCCCTTTTCAGTCTTTTGGAGATCTCACAGAAGATCCTGGTGTAGCACGTGATCATGATGACCAGAGGCAGCAGGAACAGGCAGGAGAAGGTGAACATGTTGTAGGCCGTTTCATGCCAGTGAGTGCCGAAACTCCCACGTGTAGTGCACTGAGTGAAGTCCTCTGGATGGACGATGGTCACGTTGTGAAAAAGGAACATCTGAGCAGGGAAAGGAACCACGATTAGAAAGGAATGGAGAAAACATCCATGGCTACTACAAAAGATTCAGCAATAACGTTCCATTCCCCATAAAGGCTGTCTCAGGACACAAAATGTCTCAAGATGTGGGTTCCGGCTATAGTGCTAGTTAGACATGTCGATAGTTTGTATTTTATGTGAGATATTTGTTCCTAGGATCCATTAGGATTGTCAGATGTCTGTTGGCTTTACTCCCTTTACCTCAAAGGGAATAAACTGCTAGCCATGCTTCTTGTAATGATGGAAAAAGTTACCAAAATCACTATTAGATAACAAACCATTAAAGTATGCTATTGGTTATTCAATACCTGTTACCGGAATAAATTGGTTGTTGGATTTTGGTCTCTATCTGAATAGTAAACAGATTAAATAACGGACAGATGGGCATTTATGGTCAAAGGACACGTAATCACTTCCTGGACAGGACTGTTTTCACATTTCTTTATGCAAATAAAGAGCTCCTTAAGATTCTTACAATGGTCCTCTCGCCTGCTCAACCTCCCACATGGCATTACATACATGTCCATGTTGACAAAAGATTGCAGTAGCTGGACCAGCAGAAGACAACAAATTAAAACACAAATTTGCACTCTGCAGCTCCATTTACATTTTACATTTATTCTACACTTCATTTGCACAACTGAAGAGAGCATTAGCTGGAAATCCACGTGTGGATGTGCTTTTAAATTAATTAATTAAATAAATGCACTTAAGGCAGCTACAGTCTGCAGATCTTTATTTATGATTTTCATGACAAAACATTTTGGCGACAAACTCTTCCTGCTAATGGGCTCATTTTCCATCCAGTTTTGCAATTTGAAAATCTACACATTTGTATCTACGTTGATAGTGATAATAGAGTGAAAGTTATCTACGTTGATAGTGATAATAGAGTGAAAGTTATCTATGTTGATAGTGATAATAGAGTGAAAGTTATCTATGTTGATAGTGATAATAGAGTGAAGTTATCTATGTTGATAGTGATAATAGAGTGAAAGTTATCTATGTTGATAGTGATGATAGAGTGATGTTATCTATGTTGATAGTGATAATAGTGTGAAAGTTATCTATGTTGATAGTGATAATAGAGTGTAAGTTATCTATGTTGATAGTGATAATAGAGTGAAGTTATCTATGTTGATAGTGATAATAGAGTGAAAGTTATCTATGTTGATAGTGATAATAGTGTAAGTTATCTATGTTGATAGTGATAATAGAGTGAAAGTTATCTATGTTGATAGTGATAATAGAGTGAAAGTTATCTATGTTGATAGTGATAATAGAGTGAAAGTTATCTACGTTGATAGTGATAATAGAGTGAAAGTTATCTATGTTGATAGTGATAATAGTGTGAAAGTTATCTATGTTGATAGTGATAATAGAGTGAAAGTTATCTATGTTGATAGTGATAATAGAGTGAAAGTTATCTATGTTGATAGTGATAATAGAGTGAAAGTTATCTATGTTGATAGTGATAATAGAGTGAAAGTTATCTATGTTGATAGTGATAATAGAGTGTAAGTTATCTATGTTGATAGTGATAATAGAGTGAAAGTTATCTATGTTGATAGTGATAATAGAGTGAAAGTTATCTATGTTGATAGTGATAATAGAGTGAAAGTTATCTATGTTGATAGTGATAATAGAGTGAAAGTTATCTATGTTGATAGTGATAATAGAGTGAGAGTTATCTATGTTGATAGTGATAATAGAGTGAAAGTTATCTATGTTGATAGTGATAATAGAGTGAAAGTTATCTATGTTGATAGTGATAATAGAGTGAAAGTTATCTATGTTGATAGTGATAATAGAGTGAAAGTTATCTATGTTGATAGTGATAATAGAGTGAAAGTTATCTATGTTGATAGTGATAATAGAGTGAAAGTTATCTATGTTGATAGTGATAATAGAGTGAAAGTTATCTATGTTGATAGTGATAATAGAGTGAAAGTTATCTATGTTGATAGTGATAATAGAGTGAAAGTTATCTATGTTGATAGTGATAATAGAGTGAAAGTTATCTATGTTGATAGTGATAATAGAGTGAAAGTTATCTATGTTGATAGTGATAATAGAGTGAAAGTTATCTATGTTGATAGTGATAATAGAGTGAAAGTTATCTAGTTGATAGTGATAATAGAGTGAAAGTTATCTATGTTGATAGTGATAATAGAGTGAAAGTTATCTATGTTGATAGTGATAATAGAGTGAAAGTTATCTATGTTGATAGTGATAATAGAGTGAAAGTTATCTATGTTGATAGTGATAATAGAGTGAAAGTTATCTATGTTGATAGTGATAATAGAGTGAAAGTTATCTATGTTGATAGTGATAATAGAGTGAAAGTTATCTATGTTGATAGTGATAATAGAGTGAAAGTTATCTATGTTGATAGTGATAATAGAGTGAAAGTTATCTATGTTGATAGTGATAATAGAGTGAAAGTTATCTATGTTGATAGTGATAATAGAGTGAAAGTTATCTACGTTGATAGTGATAATAGAGTGAAAGTTATCTATGTTGATAGTGATAATAGAGTGAAAGTTATCTATGTTGATAGTGATAATAGAGTGAAAGTTATCTATGTTGATAGTGATAATAGTGTAAGTTATCTATTGATAGTGATAATAGAGTGATAGTTATCTATGTTGATAGTGATAATAGTGTAAGTTATCTATGTTGATAGTGATAATAGAGTGTAAGTTATCTATGTTGATAGTGATAATAGAGTGAAAGTTATCTATGTTGATAGTGATAATAGTGTGTAAGTTATCTACGTTGATAGTGATAATAGAGTGAGAGTTATCTATGTTGATAGTGATAATAGTGTGTAAGTTATCTATGTTGATAGTGATAATAGAGTGAAAGTTATCTATGTTGATAGTGATAATAGAGTGAGTTATCTATGTTGATAGTGATAATAGAGTGAAAGTTATCTATGTTGATAGTGATAAGAGTGAAAGTTATCTATGTTGATAGTGATAATAGAGTGAAAGTTATCTATGTTGATAGTGATAATAGAGTGAAAGTTATCTATGTTGATAGTGATAATAGAGTGAAAGTTATCTATGTTGATAGTGATAATAGAGTGAAAGTTATCTACGTTGATAGTGATAATAGAGTGAAAGTTATCTATGTTGATAGTGATAATAGAGTGAAAGTTATCTATGTTGATAGTGATAATAGAGTGAAAGTTATCTATGTTGATAGTGATAATAGAGTGAAGTTATCTATGTTGATAGTGATAATAGAGTGAAAGTTATCTATGTTGATAGTGATAATAGAGTGAAAGTTATCTATGTTGATAGTGATAATAGAGTGTAAGTTATCTATGTTGATAGTGATAATAGAGTGAAAGTTATCTATGTTGATAGTGATAATAGTGTGTAAGTTATCTACGTTGATAGTGATAATAGAGTGAGAGTTATCTATGTTGATAGTGATAATAGTGTGAAAGTTATCTATGTTGATAGTGATAATAGAGTGTAAGTTATCTATGTTGATAGTGATAATAGAGTGAAAGTTATCTATGTTGATAGTGATAATAGTGTGAAGTTATCTACGTTGATAGTGATAATAGAGTGAAGTTATCTATGTTGATAGTGATAATAGTGTGAAAGTTCTATGTTGATAGTGATAATAGAGTGAAAGTTATCTATGTTGATAGTGATAATAGAGTGAAAGTTATCTATGTTGATAGTGATAATAGAGTGAAAGTTATCTATGTTGATAGTGATAATAGAGTGAGAGTTATCTATGTTGATAGTGATAATAGAGTGAAAGTTATCTATGTTGATAGTGATAATAGAGTGAAAGTTATCTATGTTGATAGTGATAATAGAGTGAAAGTTATCTATGTTGATAGTGATAATAGAGTGAAGTTATCTATGTTGATAGTGATAATAGAGTGAAAGTTATCTATGTTGATAGTGATAATAGAGTGAAAGTTATCTATGTTGATAGTGATAATAGAGTGAAAGTTATCTATGTTGATAGTGATAATAGAGTGTAAGTTATCTATGTTGATAGTGATAATAGAGTGAAAGTTATCTATGTTGATAGTGATAATAGAGTGAAAGTTATCTATGTTGATAGTGATAATAGAGTGAAAGTTATCTATGTTGATAGTGATAATAGAGTGAAAGTTATCTACGTTGATAGTGATAATAGAGTGTAAGTTATCTATGTTGATAGTGATAATAGAGTGAGTTATCTACGTTGATAGTGATAATAGAGTGTTAGTTATCTATGTTGATAGTGATAATAGAGTGAAAGTTATCTATGTTGATAGTGATAATAGAGTGAAAGTTATCTATGTTGATAGTGATAATAGAGTGAAAGTTATCTATGTTGATAGTGATAATAGTGTGTAAGTTATCTATGTTGATAGTGATAATAGAGTGTAAGTTATCTATGTTGATAGTGATAATAGAGTGTAAGTTATCTATGTTGATAGTGATAATAGTGTGAAAGTTATCTATGTTGATAGTGATAATAGAGTGAAAGTTATCTATGTTGATAGTGATAATAGAGTGTAAGTTATCTATGTTGATAGTGATAATAGTGTGAAAGTTATCTATGTTGATAGTGATAATAGAGTGAAAGTTATCTATGTTGATAGTGATAATAGAGTGAAAGTTATCTATGTTGATAGTGATAATAGAGTGTAAGTTATCTATGTTGATAGTGATAATAGAGTGTAAGTTATCTATGTTGATAGTGATAATAGTGTGTAAGTTATCTATGTTGATAGTGATAATAGAGTGTAAGTTATCTATGTTGATAGTGATAATAGAGTGAAAGTTATCTATGTTGATAGTGATAATAGAGTGAAAGTTATCTATGTTGATAGTGATAATAGAGTGAAAGTTATCTATGTTGATAGTGATAATAGAGTGTAAGTTATCTATGTTGATAGTGATGATAGAGTGTAAGTTATCTATGTTGATAGTGATAATAGAGTGAAAGTTATCTATGTTGATAGTGATAATAGAGTGAGAGTTATCTATGTTGATAGTGATAATAGAGTGAAAGTTATCTATGTTGATAGTGATAATAGAGTGAGAGTTATCTATGTTGATAGTGATAATAGAGTGAAAGTTATCTATGTTGATAGTGATAATAGAGTGAAGTTATCTATGTTGATAGTGATAATAGAGTGAGAGTTATCTATGTTGATAGTGATAATAGTGTAAGTTATCTATGTTGATAGTGATAATAGAGTGAAGTTATCTATGTTGATAGTGATAATAGAGTGAAAGTTATCTATGTTGATAGTGATAATAGAGTGTAAGTTATCTATGTGATAGTGATAATAGAGTGAAAGTTATCTATGTTGATAGTGATAATAGAGTGAAAGTTATCTATGTTGATAGTGATAATAGAGTGAAAGTTATCTATGTTGATAGTGATAATAGAGTGAAAGTTATCTATGTTGATAGTGATAATAGAGTGAAAGTTATCTATGTTGATAGTGATAATAGAGTGTAGTTATCTATGTTGATAGTGATAATAGTGTGTAAGTTAT